CCGCAGGCGGGAGAGAAACTTCGCCTTTCGGGGCCCGGGCGGCGGGAGAAGTCGAGCCAGGGTGAGCCGTGCGCCGGGACGCCGAGGGCGCGATGGAACCTCGCTCACCTGGCAGGGCCCGTGGAGGCTGAGGATAACGGAGTGTCCGGCTGCTGCGGTCTTCGCTTTAGGTTTTCGCTCCCGGGGCGGTGGGTGTGGATGCGCAGTCATTGCCTTCACCTGCCGCCCTGGGACAAGTGACTGGGAACAGCATCCTCGCTCTCTGGCGCTCTTGGAGGGTGCCAGTGCAGCGCCCATTCTAACAGGTGATTATTCTAGTGCCAGCTGAAAGCCAGTTAAAAGTTGTTTTAGGGCTTTTTATTCACTTCGCTCTTGGGACCCTATAATGCCTTACCTCCTATGATGTCTAAAGAGGTGTGCTGACGACAGTGTAGGAGTCAAATTCAGTGTTGATTAAAAAAACGAGGGTGGGGGTCACCCTGCAGATTGATCTCTTTCGATCGATGGGCCAGGAGAAACCTTTTAGTCTCATTTAAAAAAATCATTTTTTTTGCAGTGGCGGCGAAAGCATAGTAAGGTTCAAGTTGTAAATGGAGAACGCAGAACTCTAGATATCCTTCAGTGTGGTTCAGGACAGCGTGTACAACGTTTGGCCGCCATTCAGTAAATTCTGCATGAAGCAGTTTGAGCTCGTGGTTTTGGATTTACTTTTCAAGAGTATGTTTTCCAGTGGAATAAGGCTTAGCATTGAATGAGAGCTTTCTTTGCTTCTCTGGGGATAGACAGGAGTGTTTATTTTCATTGTCTTCTCATTTTGATAGGTTGTGGACAAGGGAAAAGTTAAGGCAACAATGGTTATTTTTACTCGTCTGTCGAGTTCTGCCGTGAGCTTCCCTCCCCCCCTCCACTCAAGGGTTTTTAAAAACTTTAGAGAATTATAGTAGCTTTTTCTCTTGCTTTTTGAGTCAAAATTCAAGAATAGACTTAAATTATTGCGGAAAATTTTTTTTTTTGTCATACTTGCACTTATTTTCAGTTTGTCTCTCTCCCAACTGACCTCCATTTAACAATCTACAGTATGGTCCTAACCAATTTAGGGCATCTGTAGAAAAATATATTTAAAAATAATTTTTGTAATTATTTTAAAAATGTAAAATGTATATTTTAAACGAGGATCATTAACATTGATTTGTAAGAAACAAGATTTAGTTTACTCGGGTTTTTCCCAATGTATCTTTTTTTATATCTGCATTGGGTATGAGTTATACATAATGGATGTAAGTTTAACTTTTTAAGAATTATAAAGTTATGATTTTGATTAAATATTCTACCTTATTAGTGTTTCATTGAACGATAATTTTACTTATTTACCTAGCTAATTAGTAACACTTTAAAGCTGAATTCTTTAACCAAGAGGCTAGTTGTGACTATTTGCGATTTTAAAAAGATAATCAGAGATGGTTTTTATAAATGTATTATTTCTCTCAAACAACAGGCTTATATGTTATGAGGCCTTTCGTCTTTCTAACATTTAACAAAAGTAAGTTTCTGAATCTTTAGTTTTCTTTTAGTTTTGGGGATTTTAACCAGTTCAACCTGAAAAACTTAAAAAATATTGGATTAGGCAACTAATTAAATCTTAAATTTTCTGTTTATTCTTGGATTGGAAAAGAATACCTAGCTTGGGTTATTTTTAGTAAAGTTTTCTTCGCTTAGAAGGAATCAGTCTAGAGGAGAAAGAATATCCTCTTTCTATAGCTGTAGAAGACATTATTACTATTAAAAAGTTGAGTTAGCTTTTTGACCCTTAGTGAGAGTAGATTGGTAGAATGATGGCTCGTCTTTATGTAAAGTGGGTTTTATTCTGTATAAATAGCTGTAGAGAATCTTATAATTGTTCTTTAAAGTGTATAGAATGTATTAGTTTAATTATTAATAATTAGAAGTTTTATAATCTTTTCCTATAATGATGCTCAAATATCATAAAGTTATATCTCATAGTTTTATTTACACAAAGCATATTCGAGAACTTTAAAAGTGACTTATAGTTAAAAGCCCATTTTCAAATTCAGTTTTTAGATATTTAACTAATTTTTGTCCATTTTAACTTGTGGTAGACCAGATCATAAAATTATCAACTAGATTTCAGTTTCAAAATTAAGTATAAGTTTAATTCTCACATCTATACAGTAAATATTGGGAGTGTTTTTAGGTCATTTACCCCCAGGTGTGGCTCCTTTTGAGTTTGGGAGTGGGCAAATATTTTTGAATTAATAACACCACCAAAAAAACCCCACAAAAAAACAAAAACAAAGACATTAAAAACAGCTAAATTAAAGGATAACTCAAATAACACTGTTAGACATTACTACTGCTTTATTTAACAGTAATATGCATGCCAGATATCTGTGGCTTGAGGAATATCAGCTGTAGGCCTTTAACATAATTTATACAATTCCTGAAGGAGAATGTATATTATACATATTTTGCCACATGAAATTTTGTAATTATTTAATGCTGAACAATTAAAATGTATATTTTACAATTACGAAACTATTTGGACTTTCTAACCTAGCTGGTTAGTATTTAGATTTTGTTTTTTCATTACTTTACATTTCTGAAATTTTCTACAATGCATTTTTAACTTCTGACATTAACTTTTCAAAATGTAAAGTTAAATCTACACTCATTAGAGACTGGGTGGATGGGTCATTGTTATGTAAATCATATAACTATTGGTTTAAAAGCAATAGCCACTTAAGTGTGATTTAATTTGCAAATAAGATGTTTTTTATGTAAAAAAGAAGTTCTGCCAAATGAGACAGGTTAAAATAATTTATAGTATAGGGCCTTATGCACCCTTGTAACTGTAATCTGTGTAGCTAACAGGTTACTAAGGATATTTTGGCACTATTTGAAACAAATTCGAGTACTCAAAATAATTTGCACCTCGTAGTTTATTGTGATGAGAATTGACTTGCACTCAGCTGACACTTAAACATGTAAGACTGTTGTCCTTAAATGGGGCATGTTCATTTTATGTTTAATTTGGTATAGTACGTCTTTTGGGAAACATCTGGTTTATGAGAGTGAAGGATCACCAGACGGAATATGGTGTCTACACATTTGGTATACCTGTTTTCTACCCTTGGTTTGGAAGAAAAATACTTTAAAAATAAGAATAAAATTTTATTTTAGTTTTCTAAAGCAATTGGGCAAAAGATATTGAAAGTAAATTGGGGATTTGTACCTGTTTGGAGCTGCTGGCATTTTTGTAACAGTTACTCAAGGCTGTTTTATAAAAAGGTACATTTATTAGAAAAACGAAAATGATGTATTTTAAGAATGAAGGAATAGGTTTTAAATAGACAGTTATTCATCTGTGAAAGTTAGGGAACCTCTAAATATTAAGGATGTTTTTTAAGATTAAAAATGTAGTACATTTCAGTTGTATGTTTTTGAAATTGCTTATTTTTTGGAAGAAGGAATAAAAGATGAAAGATCAAAGACTAGATGAAGGTTTTTTCCCTCCTTTTGTAGTTGCAGACCCTTTCTAAAGCAGGCAGTGGATAATTTCTAGAACTATTTGTAATATTCTGCCTCCATTTTGGTGATTTACAGTACCTGAAAATGACCGTCCAATCATCAAAAGCAGAGTTGAGAATTTCAGTTTGATCTCGTCAAAAAATAAGATTTGCATGTATGTTTGTTAGTGTTTCTATATCTGGAAATTAAAGAACCTCAATTATCAGCTGAAAAATACACAGTGGAATTTGAAAGTCAGAATGTCTCTATCACAGACTTAATGCTTCATCAAATTACTTTTTGGAACAGAAAATATCCTAGAGATTGAGTCCTTACTGGAATATATTCTGAATGAGGATGGAATGGTCTCTACCCATGTTAAATATTAACCAATGGAATGATTTCCACGTTTAACTTTAAAAAAAAGCAAGACAATAAAATAAAACCTTGTAATCTTGACTCCTTTTAGGTTTTGCCCCTAGCTTAAAAATTATTACGTGGTAGATGATAACATTTAACGTTTTGAAATTCTAATTTGGAAAGGGGATTTGTTACGAGAAGAGGGTATTTCATTGAAGCAGAACAGAGTAACATGGAGAGAAATTTCCTTTTTGAATTATTCTTAGGTTAAAACAATACTTACTAAGAAAATTCGAGATGATTATCTTTGCCATCTTAGATTTATTTTTACTATGAACTTTGTAAGTTCTTTTAATATACCTTTGGTCCTAAGTGGACTTCTCAGAATCTATTTATGTGTGTGTGCATGCATGCATGTATGTGTGTACAGTTGACCTTTGAACGATATAGGGGTTAGGGGAACCCACCTCTGAGCAGCTGAAAATCCTCGTATAACTTTTGACTTGCCCAGAAGTTAACTATAGTCAGCTTCACATCCATGGGTTTCACATCAACCAACTGCAGATCCAAAACAGTATTTTCATTTTGTGGTTGGAAATTTGCAGATGTGAAGAGCTGACTGTATTAATAGCTTACTTCTGACCGGAAGCCTTATTGATAACATAAACAGTTGATTGACATGTATTTTCTATGTTATATTTATAATATACTGTATTCTTATAATAAGGTAAGCTAAAGAAAAGAAAATGTTAAGAAAATCGTAAGAGAAAATACACTTACTGCATTTAATGAAAAAAAAATACGTGTATAAGTGGACCTGCATCGTTTAAACCAGTGTTGTTTAAGGGACAACTGTATATACACACACATACACACACAGGTTAGGTGAAATGTCTGTTCTTTGCATTTTATATATGTAACTGTATTTGCTAAATGTATATGTAAATCTCCCTCCACACTTTAAATTAAATCTTACAGCATCAAGAAAAATAAAGCACATGTCCACAAAGAGACTAGATGCAAAATGTTTTTATAGCAGCTTTTTTCATAATAGGAATGAACTACTGATTCACACAATGTATATGAAGCTCAGAAACATTATTCAGAGTAAGTGATGCCAGACACAAGTCTGTACCAAATGATTCCATTTATAAAAAATATAAGAAGAGGCAAGACTGATAGAAATCAGGTCAGTGGTTTCTGGGTTAGGGCTGTGGTTGACTGGAAAGGGGCAAAAGGGAACTTTCAAGGGAGATGGAAATATTCTATAGCTTGATTTGGGTGATGGTAATTCAAGTGTACACTTTTGGTAACTTTTTATTTTCATGTGATTTTTTTAACTTAGGGAAAAGTTGCAAGATTACTACAAAGAATGCCCAGATTCACCAATTGTTAATATATACATTTATTCAAACTTAAC